TCTCCCCAGAAAATGTACATAGGCACATACCAGCACAAGATTTCAGGAATTCATAGATTCACGCACCAACATCACCTCAATCTCTTCTATGACCAATTCACTTGTCTGTGCCTCCGCACGAGCAGTGGACACTCATTCATACTTTGACTAATTCCCCTTGCAACGCATGAGGGCTGAGCTTAACTGTTATAACCGGGTATGACAGCTACAAATCCCAAGCCTGGGACAGACAGCATGTTTCCCTGGGAGATGAAGGGTTGGGTAGTGGCTACCTGTGTGGGGGTATTCTAGGTTGAAAAGGTAATACCCAGGACATCTGCTACCCTTCACATACACATTTACACGGAGGGCTATGGTCCTTCCTGGAGCTTCAGCTCCTTGTTGGTGGAGCCGGGTTGCAGAGGAGAAGGGATAGAAACTGAGGGTAAACCTCACATCCCCTTTCCCTTCTCTGAGGCTAAAGCACTGCCCACACCCCAAAAATGCTGGGGAGAAAAACACCTTCAGTCTTCAAACCAGCCCCACTCCACCCTAACTCGCCCAGTGTGAGTCCACCTGAGGTCAAAGGGTGGCTGACCTAAGGTGAAAGAGTAGCTCCCATGAAATGGGTGGGTGCGCTCACCAGCACTCTGCATGTGGGGGTGGGGGTGCTCCTGGTGCCTTCTATCCAGCCTGCCCCCACCCACACTCTTGGGTGGGTCTCACTCGGTGCATTCAGTGCGGCCTACCTGGCTTTAGGGCCGCAGCTCGCCCCCACCCTCAATCCCCAGCAGAGGCGGCGGAACTCACGATCATCTTCTTGTAGAGACCGTAGTGCAGGACCAGACTATGGGTCAGTGCCAAGCGGTGAGGCTTCATAGGGTGCCCAGCCCCTGGGAGCAGAGAAGAGAGTTCGTCAGTTGTAGCCCCAGCCTCCAACCCTCCGCGTCCCGAACCCCTCGGGTGCCACCTTGTTCCCTCACCGTAGTGGAAGTTGCCCACGTCCGGGTCGTAGAAATAGGCCACGGTTTTGGCCATGGTGCCGGCGGGCCCGGGCCCCGCGCCTCAGCCGCCCGCCCGGCTGCCGGCCCCACCTCCCGTCGTACGTGCTGCGTAAGCACGTCGCCTGCCTCTGCGGAACCGGGAATCCAGGCCCCGCCTCCTCTGGGCCACGCCCAGGCCACGCCCCCTGCGGCTAGTTCTGGGCGTGAGCGTCTGGGCTTGGGCAGAAGACAGGTGGCATCGATTCTGGGATGCCAGGGCCATTTCCTCCCAGGCGGGGGTTAAATCCTCGAGAAGCCGAGACATCCCGTCCAGCCACCTGTCCTAAACCGGGTGCAGGCCGTGGTCACCTCTCTAGAAGGCACGGGAGAGCCGGCCACACCGCCCCTCTCGGGTGCAGAAAGCCGGCTTCCCCCGGCCACTGGGAAGATTCCAGGCTATCCACCCGGCCGGGGTATCTAGGGGCAGGAGCCGCGCCGGGCGTGCGGGATAGACTAGAGAACACGCTCGCCTGACGCCTCGCCACCCCACCCGGACCCAGGCTCGGCGCCGCACACTCCCCGGGGGGGCCCGGCGCAGTCACGCGCACACCACATTTGCGTTCACAAGCGCGCAAGGCCCTCGCTCTCCGCCCCGCACACCTGCGCTCCGCCCCCTAGTCCTGGGCCGGCGTCGGGCGAAGGCTTTTGGGAACCCAGGGTGGCTGCGGCGGCGCACCCCATCTCTTCCCCTTTCCGGGGCCGGATTTGTCGGGAACCTGCCGCTGCTCCCAGCCAGGCGGCATCCCTCTCCATCCTTCCCTCCCCCCCGCCTGCCGCGGCACCGGTATCTGCAGTCGCAGCCCGGAGCCGGTGAGGCGGCGAAGGGGGGAGGGGAAGGAAGAGAGGGATGAGAGCCGGGAGGGCGTCGGGGGCCCTGAGCCGGACTAGGACGCCCCTGGAGCCGGAACCCGAGCAGGAGCCGGAGCCGGAGCCAGAACCAAACCACCGGTACTGGGTGGGCCAGGTGGTCAGAATGGGAGGGACCGAAAGGGGGGCGGGTGCTGGAGTACAGATTAGAGAGGGGCTGCAGAGGCCTGGCTCAGGCGGGGCGGAGGAGGTGCGGCCGCTGACTCAGGCGCGATTCTTGCGCTGACCGTCTGCGAATTCCGTCCCATCTCGCTCTGTAGTGTCCTTGGAAGGGACGGGAGCGCAGGACAAACTGGGAAGGGGAACGCTGTGGGCGTCGGGAAAGCGGGACCAGGGGAGAGGGCTTGCGCAGCCGCGGTCTAGCACCCCTGGCCCGGACAGCTCCCTGGTGGGGGGGGGGGGGGAAAAACCCTGGGGGGGGGGGGGGGGGCCTGGACCTCCGAGGCTTGCCTGTTTCAGATCCTGAGGATGACATTTCTATCCCTCCCCCAACCCTAGCTGCAGCCCCCAAACCCCGGGAGGCGCCCTGGCCCGCGCTCGCCCCCCAGGGCCTCATGGCGGAACCACAGCCTGACCTGGAGCCACCCCAACATGGGCTGTACATGCTCTTCCTGCTTGTGCTGGTCTTCTTCCTCATGGGCCTCGTGGGCTTCATGATCTGCCACGTGCTCAAGAAGAAGGGTTACCGCTGCCGCACATCCAGGGGCTCGGAGCCTGATGACACCCAGCTCCAGCCCCGTGAGTGAGGAGCCTAGAACCCGGCTCAGTCACCTTTTTCCTTACCCTTGTCCCCACACCTCTGTCTGCCTTCCTGGCCAACAGACCCAGTCAAGTCCCAACCAAGCCTTCAAAAGGCCTAGTGATGCTTCCTTGGGTCAGCAAGTGAAGTGGGGTGACACCGCCCTGAAAGCAAGGCTAGAGAAGGCAGCATGGGTGGGTAGGGCCCACTGATGGTAATCTTGGGCTCCCATTGACTTTCTCATCTTTTCTGCCTTGGCCCCTGAAATGCTAATGCCCAGCACGATGACAAATAGGCACACGGTTATATCTTGAGCAATAAGCCACAGGAGCCACCTGGTAATGTCCCCCAAAGCTGACTCACTTCCAATTCCTTGTCAACTTTTTTCTTCCTTTAGCTGACGACGATGACATGAATGAGGACACAGTAGAGAGGATTGTTCGCTGTATCATCCAAAATGAAGGTGGGTGTAAGCGCCCCACCCCCCACCTCCTGACTTTCTCTTGCCCTGACCTCCACCTCCACCTCCACTGACTCCTTCTTTTCCTTCTCCCCTCAGCCAATGCTGAGGCCTTGAAGGAGATGCTGGGGGACAGTGAAGGAGAAGGGACAGTGCAGCTGTCCAGGTGAGCTGGAAACAAAGGCCAGCATGACTTAGCTTGCCTTGGAGAGTACCCTCTCCTCCAGCACAATCCTCTCCCAGTCTCCTCGCATGTTTGGGGTCGGGGGAGGGCAAAGCTGGCTAACCTATAGGAAGAAATAAGTTTATATAGAAATCTCAAGTCCTTCAAATCATACCTCCCTTCTGGATATCATCAAGCTTTCCATTCACCCTTTGTGCCACTCCTTTGGGTTAAGCACTGCCCTCTTTTTAGAAAACAGCTCTGGGAAGGAGAACACGTGATCACTACCATCTTAATATTGAGTTTATTGGATAAAGACAGAAAAGAATGTTGGGGCCTGGGGAAAGTGGGCATCTGGAGGCTTAAGGAGCACGCTGAAAGAACAGAAACAAACAGAACAGGAAGAGAAATGGAAATGTCACCCCTGCTCCCTTCCTCTCTACTGTCCAGCGTGGATGCCACTTCCAGCCTGCAGGATGGAGCCCCCTCCCATCATCACACAGTGCACCTGGGCTCTGCAGCCCCTTGCATCCACTGCAGCCGCAACAAGAGGCCCCCACTTGTCCGTCAGGGACGCTCCAAGGAAGGAAAGAGCCGTGCCCGGCCTGGGGAGACCACCGTTTTCTCTGTGGGCAGGTGGGGATAGAGTGCCGTAGAGGGGAGGTTGAGGTGGGGGATCCTGACTCCAAAGGTGGGCCCCACCTCTCTACTCCTGGATTGTGACCTACAGCAAGAGTAGGTTATACAGTATGCCCCACAATCTGACATCTCCGCTGCCCGAGGCTAGAGGGAAGTGGCCATCAAACCAAAGATATCCCTGGTTGGAGGGGAGGGCCAAGCAGCCCCTGAGCTGTGATCCTAAGACCCAGTGTTCCCTTCCCTCCCAGGTTCCGGGTGACACACATTGAGAGGCGCTATGGACTGCATGAGCATCATGATGGCTCCCCCACAGACAGGAGCTTGGGGTCTGGTGGGGGGCAGGACCCAGGGGGCAGCCAAGGGTCTGGGGAAGGACAGTCCAGGGCAGAGATGCCAGCCATTGAAAGCCTGCCCCCTGAGAGGCCACAGCCCCAGGCCCTTGCCAGCCCCGCAGTGCAGAATGGACTCAGGGACAGCAACCTAGTCCCTTGTGCACTTGGAGGGAACCCTGGAGCCTCTGCAGAGTCACCGCTGGCGGCTGGAGGGAGGGGCCCAAGCCCAGGGCTGGCCAGTCAAGAGGCCAATGGACAGCCAGACAAACCGGACACATCAGATCACCAGGTATGAAGACATGGCCAGGGCTGTGGTGGGCTGAGCTCTTACTGCCCTTTACTCTGGGGATGGGGTGCACTGATATGACTCACATCCTATTCTCCTACTGTTGACCCCTCCTCTCACTCAGGTGTCTCCAGCACGGGGAGCAAAAGGTGTGTGAGGTAAGTGTGCCTGGGCTTCAAGTCAGATAATCTCATCCTCCCACCCCCTACTTACACTACTTAAGCCCATTGGCTGGCTGCCCATACCCCCCAAGGTAAACTGCAGGCTTTTCCTTTGCTACATAGTCTTTGGTTTGGTGGTGGGGAGCAGGCATGTGCTCCAGGGAATAGGGAAGGTGCCACAGCCTCCAGGGAAAAGCTGGAATACAACTTGACTGGGAGGCAACACTATTACCCTTCCTCTTCCCCAAGCCTCCTTCTTCATTGCCGAAGAACTACCAGTTGCAGAGCCAGGGGCTGGGTGGCCATGAAGCCCCTCCTTTCCACTGGACAGCACTGCCCCCAGCTGAGGGACCGGTCCTAATCCGTCTCAGCCTGGAGGACATTGGGAGAAGGCACCCACCCCCACCCCCATCCCTGGCCCTCAGTCCCCTTTCCTTGCCTGCCAACAGGCTGCCTGACCCACGTTCCCCATCACCTCGCTCCATATGCTAGAGTGTGGCAACTGGGATCAGGCCCCCTAAAGCAATAGCACCTTAGGCCCCCTGCCCTTTATTCACTGTCAATAAATCTGCTCGGACCATTACAGTTGTTTCACATAATGGCTCCAACTCCTTCTGACAGGTCTGCCCCGTCCCAGCCCCCAAGCCCTGTGGCCCTGGCATCTGGAGTGGGGTGGGTCACAGAGCCAAGGTGGAGACACACTGTCCAGAGCCACTCAAGACTTTGGGGGATGGGGTCCAGCCCCAAAGATTTCAGGGTATTTCACCACTCTAGAGCTGGAGTGGTGGTAAAAAAGAAAGGGGTAGTTCAAGCCCTAGAGACAGTAAGAGAACGGACAATGTGGGGAAAAGGAGGAGACCCAGACCCAGAATTGGGAAAGGGGCAGTTTCTACCCCTGGAGATAAGAGCAGAAATGGGGGGGATTCCAGCTTCTGGCTGTGTCACTCCGGATCACTGAAGGGTGGTCTCTGACAGCACGGAGACAGGGCAGCAGCAGCATCTCTGGGGGCAGTAGTACCCCTGGCTTCAGGTGAGGGGATCTGGACGGCCAGGATCTGGGGCTTTAGCTGGTGGGGGAGGCGGTGGACGCATCTGTAGGGAACACACAGTCAGTGCTCCAGAGGCCTCTATTGGGGACGTCCCTGTTTGTTCCCTCAGCCCTACAGACCAAACAGGACAAGTTGGAATGACCCCTCTCTACACAGTCTCCTCCAGGAAGAGGCTCTTACCGGCCTGAGTCGAGGCGCCATCATGTCCAGGGGTCCAGGGCAGTCCAGGTCTTGGTCTGGAAACAGGACTTTGTTTTATTCACTGCTATATCATCAGCACTTAAGACAGTGGCACTCTGTAAATACTTGTTGAATTAACAAATAATCACCAACTTGGCCATAGAGTCCATCAGTCTATCCATCCTCAACACTTATGGGGCACCTACTGTATAATCAGCCTTGCACAAGCTTTCAGAGAAGGGGAGGTGGGATCCACAGCACCCCCACCCCAGTAGTTGCCTGGAACCCAATAATGAAACACAACAAGCACAATGAATGGTTGAGTGCTGAATCATTCCAAGTGAGCTATGGAAGGAGGCTCTGTGAAGAGAGTGTAAGTACCGGAAGGCTTTAGCAAAGGTGAACACTTCAAGAAGGAAAATTATGACACAAACCCAGGTGTTTGCAACATTCAAAAAGACTTAAGAGCAGAGGATGTGTATTGGGAAAACACTGTAGAAGCAGCTGGCTAATTTTTAAAAGAATGAGAACAAAGCCATGGCTTGCATGCTTGCTATGTGCCAGACACAATGCTGGACACTCTACAGACAGCTTTTTTAAAAAATGACTTTATTAATTTTAGAGAGGAAGGGAAAGGGAGAGAGAGAGATAGAAACATCAATGATAAAAGAGAATCATTAATCAGCGGCCTCCTGCATGCCCCCACTGGGGATTGAGCCCACAACCTGGGCATGTGCCCTTGACTGGAATCAAACCCGGAACCTTTCAGTCCGCAGGCTGACACTCTATCCACTGAGCCAAACCAGCTAGGGCTCTACAGACATCTTTTTAACTCACAACAACTCCACTCTGTAAAGACCCAGACATGTTAAACATTTCATCCCAAATCACACACTAGGGAGTCATGGAGTGGAGTGGGAACACTGGGCCTGGCCTCACAGCCCAAGCTTTTCTCACTATCACGCTTCAATGAGCCTGATGGCAGAGGTTCCCAAGGGCGAGGAAAAGAGCCAAGCGTAACCCAGGCATCCCAAGATTCCTCCTTCCAGCCTCTTTCCCTCCCCAAACCCCTAGTTCCCTCTACTTACCCCCAGACAGGACAGGTGCAGGGGCCCCATCCAAAGCAGAGGTGGGTGCAGGAGGGGAGAAGCTGGGAGGAGAAGGGGATGGCAGCATCTGAGGATGAGGGGGCATAGTTATTTCTGGCACATGGGAAGGTTTCACCAGCTTGTCCTCTCATCCCATCTTCGGTTCCTGTCCCATCACTCCCCAATACCAAGAGTGCCAAATGCTTGTATCTGGGTGGGGGTTGTAGCTGATACTCATTTCCACAGCCAATGTGTACTGACACTATGTCCCAGGCATTCTGCTAGCACTCCATGTGCACCAATTCATTCACTCCTCACCACCACCCCATGAGGCAGGGATCTTTACGATTCCTATATTAGGGGCAAGACTCAGATTAAGCCATCTATCCAAAATCAGAGAACCAGTTACTGGCAGAGTCCTGGCTAGAGCCAGGGTCTCCTGATTTCCACTCCTATACTCTTCCCGCTGCATTATAACAATAGGTACTGTATTTTTTTTAATTTAATTTATTTTTGTTAATCCTTACCCGAGGATATTTTTCCATTGATCTTTTAGAGAGAGTGGGAGAGGGAAATACAGAAACATTGATGTGAGAGAAACACATCGATTGGTTGCCTCCTGCAGGCGCCCTGACCAGGGCCCGGGCTGGGGTGGATCCTGTGACCAAGATACATGCCCTTGACTGGAATCGAACCCAGGACCCTTTGGTCCACAGGCCAATGCTCTATCCACTGAGCCAAACCAGCTGCAGCGGTTCTCAATCTGTGGGTCGCGACCCCTTTGGCGGTCGAATGACCCTTTCACAGGGGTTGCCTAAGACCATCCTGCATATCATATTTACATTACGATTCATAACAGTAGCAAAATTACAGTTATGAAGTAGCAACAAAAATAATTTTATGGTTTGGGGTCACAACATGAGGAACTGTTTTAAAGGGCCAGAAGGTTGAGAACCACTGAGCTAGGGCAAGTACTGTATTTTAAAGCACCTCCTGTGGGCCTCCGTGCTAAGGGCTTTACCGCCATTATCCATAGTCAGGATAGTTAGCCTGCTGAAGTAGGTATTATTCCCTTTTTACACGTAAAGAAAGAAGCTCAGCGAGGTCAAAACTGCCCAAGGTAATGTAATAGGCATCAGAACTCAGATCTATCTAGCACTAAAGTAGCACCACCAAACTCTTAGGAAGACTGCCTTGGTTTCCCTTTACTCAGCCCACCCAGAGGAGATGGGGAGGCCCAAGCCACTATGGGAGGTCAACCTGGAGAGGGGAGGGAGCATTAAGATGAACATGGGGCCTCAATGGAATAGGAGGGTCAACTCAGGGTGCGTCACCTGTTCAGGGTCTGAAGACTCAGAAGGCCCTAGGGGACCAAGCAGCTCCTCCACCAGCAGGGAGGGGAAGACCCCAACATGGCCCCCAAATTCTCCCCTCCAGAAGCCGTCATCCACTCCATCCTGGGCCCGGGGCAGCAGGCGGATGAGTGCCCCCTCAGGGAAGCTCAGCTCCTCTGCGCTCTGTCCCGTGTAGCTGTACAGGGCACGAGCCAGAAATGCTGCAGAAACCCGGGAGAGGTGGTGAGGGGTGGAGGTCGTGGTGGTGCCCATGACCATGACACCTTAGGGTCACAACCACTCAGTAACTCTTCTCCATACCCAGCACCCTTTGACCCAGAATTCTCCTTTCTTACCTGTGGGCTCTGCCCCTAAGGGCATGCTGCTGTCGTGGCCGCTCTCAGGGAAGGAGAGGTCGGGAAAGTTGAGATAGCGCTCAGGAACAAAGCCTACTTCGCTGTGTTGGTTCCGAGCCTGCTCACCCAGTAATAAGAACAGATAATATCCATGGCCCTGACCCTCCTCCACTCAGGCTTCTAGCTCTGCTTGGCTGAGTCCTTGTGGGCCACCGGGAAGTCCCTTCCACTGCCCCCAACTCCCAAGGTCAGAGCCCAGGGACCATACCCACCTTGACCCATTCGTCGGCATCTCCCTCCTCTAGGACCTCCAGCCACTCGCCTTCTGTGATAGTCAGCTCATCCTCATGTCCTGCCTTGGCCCCACAAGGAAGGATTTAGGACTCGGCTGTCCCCCATCCCTGCCCATCTGAGGCCCCCACCCCCCAATTCACACCTGATAGCCAAACACCACATGTGCGGGGCAGGGGAAGGGTCTGGTGGCCAGGGCTGGGGGGACAGGCTCCTCAAAGAGCTCTCCAGTCTCCTCACAATCCTCAAAGTCAGAGAGCTCAGCATCCTCAGCCTGGAGGGAGGGGAACAGAGAACAGACGTCACTGTCACTCTCAAGTACCCATTGTATCTCCCTCTCCTCCATCCTCCTCCAAGGTAGCCCCACCCATCCGTTCACCAGATGTCACAAGAAAAATCACCACAGGGCAGGGTAAGACTGACAGTGACTGCAGAGTTAGAGTCCTGGGCGCTTACTATGTGCCAGGCACAGTGCTAACTACGGATCTTATTTAAACTTCATCATAACCCACTGTTATTCCGTATAACTATTAACCTCGTTTTACTTATGAGAAAACTGAGGCTCAGAAAGGTTAAGTCACTTTCCAAGATCACACAGCTAATAAGTGACGAATCACGTATGGTCTGTCCCCAGAACCTCGGCTCATAACCACCATCCTATACTCAATATAAGTTGAGGACTCTATGCCATAAACTGTGAAGAATTATACTTAAGTGATTTCATTTAAGCCTCAGAACAACCCTTTGATTTAGGTACTGTTGTGATTCCCATTTCATTGGGCCTGCCCTCCACTAGGGACTTTTACCCTCCTGGGTGGGTGTGGGTAGGGAGCAGAAGGAACTCACCGTGGGAGAGAGGTCCCTCTGGGACAGCCGGGCCTCGCTGAGCCGCTGCTCCTGCTCCACCTCGTCCTGGGCCTGGGTCATGGCTGGCTTCAGCCAGTGCTGTACATCCAGGCCAGCCTCCTGCAGCAGGGCCAGCCGGGCACCCCCCTTCACCTGGCTCACCTGGCATGGGGAAGGGGGATCAAGTCTGTGGCTGGGCTTGCTTTGGGAAGGTGAGTAGAGCCTCCCCAAATGTGTCCACCCTCTACCTCCTGCCTACCTCCTCCCACCATCAGACAGAGGAGAGGAGGAGGCTGTTGGCTGAGGAGGTAGGATCTCAGGACCCTAACCCCCAGGTGTCTCACCTGTGCCCGCAGGATGCTCTGCCTTACTTCATGCAGCCGTTGCTCTATGCTCAGAGCCTCCCGCTCTGGAGCCTGCTGCCGCCTCTGCTCCAGCCGCTGCAGCACCTGGATGGGAAGCAGAGGACGGGGTGAGGGAGATGCTATGGGACACAACTTACTATGGACCTGGCACTTTGCTAGTGGCTTCATATGCATTATAGCATTTGATCTTCCCTATGGGGTGGGTGCTATTATTAGTTCTGCTTTAATGATGAGGAAACAGGTGCAGAGAGGTTAAGTCACTCCCTTAGTCAGGGTTACATAACCTGGAAGTAACAGAGCAGGATTTGAACCCAGGTGGGCCTTGCTCCAAAAGCTGTGCTCTTAACTACTTTGCCACACTGTTGGCTTAAAATACCTTTCCCTCCCCTCATGCCTGCACTAGGACATCCCTAGTGACCCCAGGATCCCCATCTCTCAGATATCCTTGTCCACCCATGACACCTGCACCCCACTCCTCACCCGAAGCCCGTGGTTCTGGATCTTGTAGTCTCGGGCAGCTCGACTCGTCCAGCGCTGAACCTCTTTCTCCAGGTCACTCTCCCCAGCCACACCTCCAGTAACACCCTCCAGCTCCAAGGCACATACCTGAATGATGGAGGGGCGAGGGCTGTGGGGAGGACCTGATGCTGCTCCTTCTCTACTCCCCTTCCCTCCCGTTCCCTCCTTTTTACTGCTTTCTGTCCCGACCTCCAGGGACAGGGACAAAGAGGTGGGGTACACACCTATGACCGTGGACACAGGTGTGCGTTCATGTGAACACAGACACAGAGAGTTCCAGAAATGGGATCCAAGTTGAGGGACAGATGTAGAATGAAGAGGATAGTGCAGTGAAGAGACAGAAAGGTGGAATTAAGTGTGTTAATTTGTGTCTGGTGGGAGGGAGGTGAACTGGAGTCTGAAACCCCCTCTCCACGGTTTAAGTTACTAAGTTAATATCATCAGAAGGATCATGGGGATGGGCCTAAACTACAGTCCCCTTTACATCTGGCCTGGTTCCGACCATCAGGGAGGTCTCACCTGGTCATTCCCTGCGGGCTGAAACTTCTGAGGTGGTATGGGGGAAAATGCCTCGGGGTCTTGAAGAAAGAGCTTCAGATCCTGCTCCCAGCTTACCTGGGGGTTGGAAGAAGTCAGTCAGTCATGAACTGGCTCCCTCTCCAAGCCTGTCCCCTCTTGGAAGCAAGGACAAGGTGAGAAGAAAGGGAGTAGACACGCAGTGGGTGGTCTGTTTCGGAGAGAGAGTAAAGAGCATCTCTGGGGAGCTCGTACAGGGCACAGCCCCCACCTGGGAGGTTGCCTGTGCTCCACGGCGGGCCTGCTCCAGGGCCATCTCTGCTGCTTCCAGCTCCGTGCGGCTCAATAAGGTCAGGGGGTCCCTCAAATGTTCCGACAGCTCGCTGACCAGGGCCTGGAAAGAACCCCAAGATACTGACACCACCCTTCCCCCAGGCCTTTACCACAAAGCAAGCTCTCTGTCCAGGTTTGGATGGGTGATGGGCATGAGGTATGGGAAAGAGGAAAGGAATAAGACACTATTAATTGCTTCTAATAATAAGCCCTAGTGTGCACAGTACTTAACCATTTAAAAAGCATTTTCACATCCATTTTCTCCCTTGAGCCCCATTAGTCTTAAAAGGAGGCAAGAGCAGGGCTTATTCCTGATGAAGAAACTGGGGTTCAGAGGGGTTACGTGTCCTGTACAATGTCATGCAACCAGTCAGAAGCAGAACCAGAACCCAACTATGTATTTTCTACCGACGCTACGCAGGCTAGGTCCCTAACACCACCCAGCCTGCTGCTGGTGGGAAGCAGGGAAAGTCCTCCCCCCTTTCCCACTGAGAGGCAGGGGGACCTAGGCTGGCACTGGCCTTGAGCAGCGCGGGCAGTTCCTCCTGGTAGTAGTGTTCAAGGTGGGCATTGGTGGACACCAAGTTCAGCAGGTACTCATTGCGGGCCACTTTCAGCTGCTGGGAGTACTGGGCCGATTGTGTGGAGAGCTAGGAGGGGAAAACAGGGTGTCAACATGAACCCTGAACCCTTAGGGTCCTTCCAAGGCCAACCAGCTCCAGAATAGATTCTAACATTATTGAGATGCTTGACACTATACTTGAAAATTTACACATCCTCCAGGGGCATCTGTGTACATCTACACTAATAAAAGGGTAATATGCTAATTAGACCAGACATCTTCCGGACGTCCTTCTGGACAAAGCCATGGTGGCGGGGGCCGAGGCAGAGGTGGTTAGGGGCAATCAGGCCAGCAGGGGAGAGCATTTAGGGGGCGATGAGGATGGCAGGGGAGGACAGTTAGGGGGCGAACAGGCCGGCAAGGGAGGGCAGTTAGGGGGCGATCAGGCCAGCAGGGGAGGGCAGTTAGGGGGCAACCAGGCCGGAGGGGAGCCATTAGGAGCATCAGGCCAGCAGACAGAGGTGGTTAGGGGCGATCAGGCAAGCAGGCAGGCGAGCAGTTAGGAGCGAGCGGTCCCGGATTGTGAAAGGGATGTCCAACTGCGGGCAAACAGGCCGGCAGGGGAGGGCAGTTAGGGGGCTATCAGGCCGGCAGGGGAGGGCAGTTAGGGGGCAACCAGGCCGGAGGGGAGCCATTAGGAGCATCAGGCCAGCAGACAGAGGTGGTTAGGGGCGATCAGGCAAGCAGGCAGGCGAGCAGTTAGGAGCGAGCGGTCCCGGATTGTGAAAGGGATGTCCAACTGCCAGTTTAGGCCTGATCCCGCTAGCAGTTGGACATCCCCTGAGGGGGTTCCAGATTGGAGAGGGTGCAGGCCGGGCTGAAGGACCCCCCTCCCCTGCCATGCATGAATTTCGTGCACCGGGCCTCTAGTTTGAAATAAAATCCCAGCTGCTCTTTACCATGGTCTACCAGGTCCAACAGGAGCTGGCCCCTGCAACCTCCCTGACCTCTTTCAGTGTCTGTCCCCTCGCTCACAGTGCTCTGGCCACACTGGCCGTCTCTGAGTTCCTGGAGCCTACAAAGTTATTCCTGCCTCCGAGCCTTTGCACCATTTCCTCTCCTGGAATGTTCTTCCCCTGGCCTTTCCATGATCTTTGCATGGCTGGCTCCTTCTTGACACTCAGGCCATCTGTTCAGAGAAGCTGTCCCTCTAAATTACAGCCCCTTGTTATCCTTTATCATAGCACTGGGGTTTATGTGATTATTTTCACTTATGTGATTATTTGTTTTTTTTTGTTTTTTTTTTACTATCTGTTTCTCCTGACCAGGCTATGAGGGCAGGAACTCCATTGGTAGTGTTCTCCATTGAATCCCAGTGTTTAGAACAGTGCTTAGTACACAGAAGTCCTCAATAAATGCATATGAAAAGAATGAAAAATAAAGGCACTATTTTCATTTTATAGATGAAGAAAACGAGCTCAAAGAAATGAAGTTAACCAAGATCACCCACCAAGGAAATAGGGAAGCCTGAATGCATCCCAGTCTCTCACACTTATGCCCCTGGGTTGCAAACCACTAGACTACTCTACCCACCCCTTCCCTGCCCCAACGTGCGCCTGCATCTCCAAACCTTGGTGCTGAGTTTCTGGAGACTGGTCCGAGTGTGGAAGAGCCCATGGTCACTTCGGTTCAGCCTATGCAGGAAAGAGAGAGGAGTTAAGATTAGGCCCCCGCTTCACCCCTACCCCAGGCTACTAACTCCCTATGACCCCACCTGGCTTGGACATCAGCCGCCTTCTCCTGTGCCAATGCCCACACACGTTCCCGCTGCCCATACAGCTTCTGACTTCGGCTCAGCTCCCGGACAGACTGCAGCACCTCGGCCTGTGCCCTCTGGAGGTTCTCTGCCCCCTAGGGGAATGGACACACAGAGTCCTGACCCAGACCACTTACAGCCCTAGCCAGCCCTTCCTTCACCCCCTCTACTGAGCCATACCTTCCTCAGCAACTGCTCCTTGGCACTCCGCCCTGTGCCCCCTGCCAGGTCACGGTATCGGTCAGACGCCTGGAGTCGGGCTTGGCCCCCAGCCACGGTGGCATCCAGCAGACAGCGCCAGGCACCAAACACCATCCTGCCTCTCCCCAGAGAAGGTCTGTGTTGAGGAGGGGCGCACTACAAAGCTTCACAAGACACCCACCCCCAACACCACGGGAGACAGAGTGCTTTCCCATCCCCCTTGTCTGGGAGCCCTCAATCGATCAGCCCATTAGCTCAGCCACAAGGATCACTCATGCCCTCCACCCCCACCTACAGTGTCCTTGCTGGGTCAGCTCCTCTCCTGCTGCTGTGTCAGCTCACATGTCCTCCTCCCTCACTGGGCCTTCATCCCCACAGGTTCCTGGGGTTGAGCCCTCATCCCTTCTTGGTCCCTTGCCCTCCCCCTCCATGGGACCCACCTGCTGTCTATCTCCCCGCTCCGGTACCCTTCCCTCTTCAGGAATGGCCCAGCCAGTTTCTGGAGTGCCTGGAGGAAAAGTCATCAGACCCAGTTCCCTTTCCAAGACTCCCCCCAGCTGGGAGAATAGGGATGAGAATATAATAATGCCACTCACCAGATGTGTATCATGTGCCTCTCACTTTGTAAGTGTTTTACAGGCACTAACTTATTCCACCCTTACAACAACCCTACATGAAGGAACAATTATTGTTATTCCCATTTTACAGAGAAAGAAATTGAGGCCAAGAAAGGTTAAGTAACTTGAACACTACTACCAGGGTAGTCCAACATCGAATAAATAGCACAAAAGGGATTTGATAGAAATCTGCCTGACTCTAGGCATTTGCTCGTGACCAGAACAGGAGTATGTGTGGAGGTGTAAAGGAGGCTAGAACAAAAGGGTAGGTTTAGAGAGAAAGGAGTCCCATACCTGCCCATACTCCCGTTCAATGGCTGCCCTCTGCTTGCTGTAGGATCTGTGGAGATGGGGGGTAGAGGGGGGAGGGAAGGGGATGTTACTATTTGGTCCTTTTCTTCTACCCCTAATCCTTTGCTCAGCCAGGGCAGGAGGAAGAGGGGAGCCAGGCCTAGAGTGTGCACCAGGAGGCAATGAGACTACAGAGAGTCCTTGAGATCACCGCAGGCAGCTGGAACACAGGTCAACCTCATCTCATTGCTCAGAGCCTCAGCAGGATCCTCCCCACCCTCGGAGAACCATCTGTGGACTTGCAGGTGAGGACTGATGGGGGCCTGGGTACACTGTCTGCCAGCCTTCCAACAGGTCTGGAAGAGGGAGGAGGTTTCTGTCCTAAGAGTGGGAGAGGGAGTGATGTGAAATCAAGAGGGTTGAGGGAGGGTCCCTGTGCGTTTATGCATGTATTGGGGTGGGAGGAATCTGGTATCTGGAGAGGCAGGCCCAGGGTGAGGGCTGTGAATGGGCTAAGTTTGGCGACCTCTTCACGCCAGCTTCTCCCCTACCCCACCCCCCAGGCCCAAGTACGTCGGAGAAGAGGCGGAGCGCGACCGGGAAGATGGGGTTACGTGGAGTGGGGACAGGGTCTACCTGATGTCCTCCAGCAGATCCGCCTCCCGCTGCTGCCGAGCCTGAAGGATGCTCAGCTGCTCCAGGAAGCGAAGCTTCACCTCCTGGGCCGGCTTCACCTTCGGGGGTAAGAAAAAGATGAAGACCCCTGGCGCGGGGGCCTGAAAAACACTCCGCGCGGGCAGCGGTGAGGAGGCGGGGCCGGGGAGGGGCCGAGCTGCTTCCTCGGTTACTTCTGGGTCGGGCTCGGACCCCTTCCTACTACTCGTCCCCACCGCGAGTCGGGTGCCCCCTGGATCCCACCACAACCCCAGCCCGCCGAGAGCCCCCGTCCCAGGCCAAGCTCACTTTTCGGGAGGGCGGCTGCATCTCCGTTCCAGCCCCGGCAGCGACTCGACTCCGGAACTCCGGGAGGCCCA